CCGATCGATGTTTCTCTCCCATTGATATTTCTATCTCTCTCCCCCTCTCCCTTCCTCTCTCTGAAATCAATAAAAACATATTTTTTTAATGATTTGCTTTATGAAAAAAAGAAAGGAAAATCAGTCCCTTGTACCTGAACCACCAAGAAATTCTCCCAGCCCTGGACATGTGGCTTTCTGCCAGTTTATTCTGGTTGATTGAGCTTGGAATGAAAGGTAACTTCCCTGATGTTTCTTAGGGACTAAATTCTGGTAGTATCTGTAGGCTGAATTGGATAAAAAGGTATTGCTGCAATGTTGGGTGAGTTATCAGTAAATACAGCCAAAAACAGTGTGAGAAATGGAAGTTTGCCCCAGCAAGATGAGGCCTGCAGACAGCTACCCACAAAGACTAGCCAGGGCTCCTAGCAGGAAAGTGGAGCCTCGAAATGCAACTGAAAAGTAAGCATGCCTCTTGCCTACCTGTGGTACCTTGGAGGCCAAGAGGAAGTCAAAATAAAAAAGAATCCCTTCCTATATGCAGGATTTTCCAAAAGTGTAACTGGAAGGGAAGTAATTAACCCTGGGGTGCTTTACAGATTTTTGTGCATGAAACAGGCTGTGGCGTATCAACAGGGAAGGTGTGGCAATTCTGAGCCTATAAAAGGATGATACTGTGTGATGTTCGTGAGTTGATTATTTGGAATTCTGTATTTTCATGTGGAAATACAGTTATAAATGGTAGCTCAGCTCATAAAAAGCCCATTTTCCTCATAATATTTCTAGCATACAGTACTAGGCCCTAACATTCTAGGTCATAGCCATTGTTTTAGGGTTTTTTTTTTTCTTTTTTCAGAGAGAATGGAGGGTTGAGGGATGGAGAGAGAGAGAAACATTGTGAGAGACACATGGATTGGTTGCCTCTCACACACACACACACACACACACACACACACAACTAGGGCCAGGGATCGAATCTGCAACCCAGGTATGTGCCCTTGACCGGGAATCGAACCCACGACCCTTCAGTGCATGGGCTGGTGCTCCAGCCACTTAGCCATGCTGGCCAGGGCCATAACCAGTGTTTCCATGGGAAAGTGCAGCATTCTAGGCTTGGGCTTCTGGGACCTAGCTCTCTCCCTGTCAGGCCCCTCCACATGCTATACCAGGCACTGGCTGTAGAGCCCCTCCATCTTGAACCTGTGGTTACAGCCCCTTTGTCCAACATCAGAGGTACTCAGACGTTTCTTGTATAATTTATTAGTCCTTAAAATAAGCCCATTATCTTTATAAGGTATTTCTAATTGTCTTTTATTTAGCACCAATATAAAAGTCAACTGATTAAATATAACCAGGCAGAATTGAATGATTGATTGGAGATGCAGACCTCAAGCTGACTCCCATCACAACCCATGCTGTCCCTGGTGGACACTGGCCTGTGACTGGAGCTAGGCCTTTGTCTAGGCCCATCCAGCTTTATAATCCCATCCTCACCTCTCCTTGTGAGAAACATGCCAAACCCTTCTCTGCCCCAGGCCTGTGCGGACCTGGGAATTTTAACAACCAAAACAACTAAAGTCAAGTTGGCTTTGTGTACATTACAGATGAACATCCACACTCAGTGTCCTGAGGGTGGGTTGGCTGGTTTGTGTTTTTGTGGGGGTTTTTCAGCTAGCCTAACATTTGTTAGCTGATAGGGTGGGAGGGGAGGGTGCAGTGCTTTTTTGGGGTGAAGTGTCTTGGACAAAGCCTTCATGAGGAAGTCAGAGGAAGATGGAAATATAGAAAAGACGAGTATATAAAAGGGGGAGTTGCCATAGGATTGTTTGCTTTTCCCAACTGCCAACTACTCCACAGCTCTGGGCCACACAAGAGGCAGGGCCTGGAGTGAAGTGTCTAGCAGGTCAGAGGCAAAGTGGTAGTGTGGAGAGCACCCCCAACTTAGGAAGGCAAGATCTGGACTCAGATCCTAGCTTCACTGTATCCCCAGTCAGGTCACTCATCCTCTTGGCCTCTACAAAGACTGGAGGAAAAGGTGACAATACCACCCTTCCAGGCCTGGCATTCTGAGTAGGATCTGTGTGTAACTGCTTCCAGTAGCTGCCTGTTGTTAGATTTACCTAGAGCCTTTGTTGGCCCTTTAAAGAGGACAAACTCTTAGTTCAGCATGGGAAAGGAAGATCCAGATGTTAGTCAGGTAGTGCCACATTTAACTTCTTTGAGCCTTAGATCCCCCATTTCAAACTAGAGATACTAATGGCCATCCAGGTGGCCACCAACGTAAGGATCAATGAAATAATACATGTGAGAGTGTTTTGAAATGATAAAACACTATCTTTGCTTATTGCATGCATCACTGGAATATAATAAAACATGCCTTACTATATGACGATATTCTTCTGCTCTTCAAAATTCACCTGTTACCTGCGCCCAGAGGTCAAAGTGAGAGGGTACTAAAGAGTTGCTGATGGTGGTCACATTTCAAAAGGAAAAAATCAGTTTGCTGCCAAGGTAAAAGATGGAGCAGGTGAGCTTGCAGAGTGTTGAGGAATGCAGAGCAGTAAGGATAAGAGTGTAGAGCTGCTGGTAAAAGGCCTCTGACCAGAACCAAGTCCCAGGGTTGCTCAAAAGTGATGACAAGCCCAGAGGATGCACAGGTGGTTTGAGAGGTTATAAATTTGGTGGCTGTTACAAAGAGACAGAACCTAGCATTTAAAAACTTTTTTAACTTCTATTTGCCATGAGCTTTACTACATCTTTGCCTTTAGAACTAATGGACCAAATCCTTTATATCTCACGCCTTCAAAAAAGGCAAACAAATGTCACTCAAAATCAGACCCTCTGTGTTTCCTTTGCACACTCACTTCAGGGCTGAGTCTGGGTAGGACTCCCTTTATTTGACTGATGTTTCCAGTCAGTTTTCCCTCCTCAATTTCTTCTTTTTAAAACAATATTTATTGGGTGTGTTTTCTGACTATTCAAATAGTATACATTACGGAAATTTCAGAGCATGCAGAAAAGTCTGAAGAAGAAAGTCATAACCATGCAGTGTGAGTTCACTTAGCTCCCTTCTGGCCATTTCACATCCTGCCCTCCGCCCCTTGTTGAGAATGTTTTCTTCTTTTTAAACACTTACTTAAACCTGATGCCCCCTTTTCTAATTTCATTTCCTAATTTCTGTTCTGAATATTCTGTTACCACAAATGTCTTCCGTATTGGAAAGGGTGTATGAGGATGTGGTCTACTATATAAAAGAAGCTAAAAGCTCTATTTTGTGATTACCAGAAAGTAGAAACACATTATTAAATATACATGCAAGTACATACTTCCTTATTTTGGTGTGCATTGGTTGTGTATCATGTCACTTTGCCTTGCGAATGGATATGGACACTGTCCACTCTGTACCACAGCCTGTCTGGGGTGCCATCCATCCCAGGAAGTGGCACAGAGTATTCACTGACATTGTATTTCATGGGATTTATCCAGGTATTCTAAGTACCAACACAGACTGTACATTTTTGTAACAAAAAAGGTTGAATGTCAACCAATTATAAAGAAGTGTGTTTTTTAAGAAAGGAACAGTTCCCCCTACCCCAGCACATCAGCTGGTCACGGTCATGTCTGTTAAGAACACTGGATGTAATCAGCATTTCATACACACATGCACACACAGTCTCTGACTTTAGTTTTGAAGTTTTACCAGAAACCAGATTCATTGCATAGCACAAAGCACTATGGAGATCACTGTGAGGGGCTTAAAGGAAAGAAAACATGGTACCTGCATTTATTCAACTGCAATGCAGGACACCTCTCAGCCTTCTTTGACTAAAAAGGGTTACTTCTTACTCCTGTTCTAATTGTAAAGCCACCCACTCACCTGTGCACGCATGCTCACAGACACACACACACACACACACACACACACTGGAATCCCTGAGGTGTCTGCTGAGGAGGGTGTTCCTTGTCTGCAGTGTGCTCTGTGGTTCTTTGATGATCCCTGTGAGCTCCTCCTCTTCCTCGAGTCACTATCAGGTCTCTAAGTCTCAAAGGTGTCTCTCTGCACACTATCTTCTCTCAGTCCCCTGTCCACGGCTCTTATCAGCAGTGTTACTGTGGGTGTTTAAGCACATTCTGTCAGCACCCCTTTTGGTCTTACAGTCCAAAGTGTGACAGCCTTCCCCCAGCTATGGCATTGTATCCCTCTGTGCAGATGGAAGGGACGGAAGAAAAGGGGGTGGTTGGCTCTCCCTGGCCAGGGGGTTGGGGTTGGTGTGTAGCAAAACGGACTGGTGGAAGTTGCCTCTGTGCGGACATGCTGTCCCCACACATCTAGCTTAGCGTTCAAAGCATTGCAGGTGTCAGAGCACTGGCAGCCCATCACAAGAATGGGTGCTACCTCCATAGACTCAGCTGCTTTCTGTGGGCATGGCAACCCAGCAGTCACAAACTCCTCTTTACCCCTTAGACTTATCCAAGCTTAGTTTTACCTGGAGCGTATGTGTCTGTGAATAAGGGTGCAGGTTTGGTTGGTTTAACCACGTGGTCCACAGAGGTAGGCAGATCTATCTAGGGCCTTTGGGAATTTTTGAGGAGAGAACCCAAAACTCAAAAGGCCACTGTATGGTAATACCCAGTGTCACCCCCCTCCCTGTGGGGACTAGAGGAAGACGGAGCCGCCCACCATCAGGAAGGGAGCGTGTGCGTGTGCATTCCTTTTCTTAGCCACACACCCACATCAGGGCCCGACCACCCATGCCTGGGTCTGCTCTTACTCAGTTTCTGTGCCAAAAAAAAGGACTTAATTCATTTGTAGACTTTGTTTCCCTTTTTTCTGCTTTTCCGCTTCTTGTATTTTTTTTCTTTTCCTCCTGTTACTCCTTTCTCACTTTTATGCTTTTTGTCCTCTGCTTGTTTTTCATTTCGCCATCTCCCTGTCCCTCTTCACTTCCAAACTCTTCCTTCTCTTCCTTTTTGTCTTTCTCCTTCTCCTCTTCCTCTCCCTTGTTTGGTCCTTTTTGAAGTTGAGCCCAGTGGCGGGACTCCACGGCGTAGACCTCTCTCCTTCTGCCCTTGCTGTGTCCAGGAAGGTAACGTAACTCCCCAACCTCATCCCCACTGCCTCTCAGGCCATAGCAACACTAGTTAAAGAGGGACTCACACCCAGCTGTCTCTCTTTCTTTGACACTTGATAGCCCTGTTACAAAACTTCCTGAGTATGTGGCAGTTTCTTACAAGGTACAGTATCCCTTTGACTGTCTCAGGGGAGGACTGGGGTATGGAGTGAAGCCAGCGGGCCTCCAGGGCAGGCCTCCCAGCTGCAGCAGAGTCCCACGATATTGCACCACCATTTGTGGTTGGGTCTTTCAGTTGCAAATCCAGCAGATAGAGGGGCCAGGTTCACAGGTGAGGAACCTCCCGCCTGTGTGGCAACAATTTGTATTGGTGGAGTCGAGGAATACTGTCCTTACAAAGACTGGTCTATACAAATGCCTCTGAGTTCTTTTCCCAAACAACCACTAAAAACAAACTTCTCTACCCTGTGTCTTGCTGAGTGTGTGTGATTTTTTTTTTAAGTTTGTCTGATTTGAAGTCTTTTGTGGTGATAAGACTGTCATTGAAAAGGCATGTGGGAAGGGGAAGGGGGAGTGTGGTCATGACTAACCCTTGCTAACCTCTTCCTCTGCTCTCCATGGTGCTCACATTTGACTTTCACCCACTCCACCATATACTTTTGCTCATTGGCTGTGAACAATCTCTACCAAAGCTCATGAGTGGTGTTTGGATGTCTCCCCATGGAATTTTGGGGAGGTGGGAAGGAGGGAGAGACTTCCTAGTGCATTTACAGCTTGCCACACTGGATAGCTTGCATGCTTCAGGGCTCCATCTCCCATGGCCATGTGGGCACACTGTGCAGAGACGCTCAGAAAGGAATGCATGGAACTGAGCTGTAGGCTGCTTTAACAGCCAAAGAACCAAGTCTATTGGGTTGGGTGAGAAGAGCTTTGGGCCCCAGACACTCCGGCACGCACTCCACAGTAGCAGGATCAGCCAGTCAGAAGGGAGCTTCCATCCTTCAGAGTAGGACTTGGGCAGGACTTCACCTTGGGAGCCAAGCTGCATGTGCACCGCACAGTGCATTCATTAACCCCTGCTTGTATGAACGTGATTCATTTCTGCCTCTCCAGAGTGTGGCCCCATTGAAAGACTAACTGGCTTGGGCCTCATGTGTGTCAAGCAAACAACACTGCAGAGAGTTGTCTTTGAACAGTGTGCAAGGAAGTCAAGTGTAAAGAGTATAGGAAAACCATGAGCAAGAAGCTTGGTACATGAGAGCCAGCCCCCCCCCCACCAAGGGCATACTCCATATGTGTCTAGGCCTGGTCTTCACGGGATAGAACGTCCAACCAAGTGACTCAGAAAGTGGGAAGCACTTTGAAAGATTTCTCAGTCTAACGCCTCTTCACCTGGGGCCCGTGGATGGATTTCAGGAATCCCGTGAACACCCTGGAGTTCTGTATGAAGTTGCTGGATGTATATACTGTACATGCATTTTTTTCTAAGAAGAGAGTCCCTAGCTTTCCTGAGATTCTCAAAATGGTTTGTAATGCAAAAATATTGAAGAACCACTGACATAGTCTGTCATTTGCCTTCAGGCAGGACCACACTATGGCTTTTTTGTGCTCCAAGGAAAAGGAGTTTTCCCTCTTTGAGTAATTTGATTCCTTGGAAAATTTTTCCATCCATCCTCCTGCTGCAGTTAAGCCCAGTGGGGTCGGGTTGCTCCTGGTGGAGGTCTAGGTCTCAGCATGCGGTGGTACAGGGTAGCCTGAGTTAGGCAGGCACCAGCCCGGACACTGCTGCTGGGGTTGGGTCAGAGTGAGCATGCCACCTCATTTAGTCTCTAGGATCTGCTGTTGTTTCTCTGCCCTCAGTGAGAAACCTGCTAGTCTTCTTGAGATATAGTTCATATCCCATGCAGGATCCATTGGAAGGATATTTGGTCAGGATAAAAGAAATGGTGAGGCCCCAAAGGGGTAGTGCCCGGAAAGAGCTGAGTTAATCAGTGTGACTTAAAAGGAAGCCAAGTGTGGTGTATAAATTCACGTTTGCCTCGATCATTAGGCTGGTTTCCTCAGAGCAGGCCTACTACATAGAAAGTACCAAGTAAATATTAAATGAATGAATGAAAGAAAGAAAAAAGGAAGGCAAAGCACTTAATACCAAAGGTAAATCACTGAGCAGGAGAGGTCCAAACAAGTGGTGACCAGGTTACTGAGGGGTGAGGGCCGGGCCTGGGAAGGACAAATGCAAAGTGCAGGCTCCATTAGGCCCTGGGGGTGAGCGTGGCACTCCCTCCTGGGCGGCAGGCAAACTCTGGACCTGGCTTGGGAACGTTCCGGCAGCATCTTGCTCTGCTCTCTTTGCACATTTGCCCCAGTGTGATGACTCCTGCTGGCCAGGTAGACAGCAAGCCCTTCATGTGCCTGACATGCCTTCTCTCTGCAGGCATGGGCAAGAAGGATGACCCCAAGCTGATGCAGGAGTGGTTCAGGCTGGTGCAAGAAAAGAATGCCATGGTGCGCTACGAGTCGGAGCTGATGATCTTGTGAGTGAGTGGCCTCAGGCTGGGGACCCAGCTAAGGGGGAATGTGAATTCAGTGCCTATCATGGCAGGAACACAGCTCCTTTAGGGAGTAAGGAGATATGGTCCCCTAGTCACTGTTGCTTGTCTCCCTCCTTCCCTCCCTTCCCAGTGCCCGGGAGCTAGAACTGGAAGACCGGCAGAGCCGACTACAGCAGGAACTCCGGGAGCGAATGGCAGTGGAAGGTAAAAGGGGGAACAAGGCTAAGCTTGCACATGGGAAGGCTGGGTGTGGGCCTCCTGGCCCTACAGACCTAATGTCTTCTGCTACTGCTCAGATCACCTTAAGACCGAGGAGGAGTTGTCAGAGGAGAAGAAGATCCTGAACGAGATGCTGGAGGTGGTAGAGCAGAGAGACGCCCTCGTGGCCTTGCTAGAGGAGCAGCGGCTCCGGGAGAAAGAGGAAGACAAGGACCTGGAGGCTGTCATGCTATCAAAGGGCTTCAGCCTGAACTGGTCCTGAGCTCCCACCCACGCTCAGCTAGCTGGTCTGTGGAATCTGCCTGACCTGCTGGGCTCTCCCAAACCACCTGGGTCCAAGATCTCAGAAGGCCTGGCACCTCCTGGGAGTTTGCACTCAAATGTCCACGTGCCTCTTGAAAAGCAGGTCAAGTGTCCGTGCTGTGGGGAACCCCAGGTGAAGATGATTATCTGCAACAGCTCTGTCTCCTTGAAAAGACTTGCCCTGACTTCCCACTGCAGGGAGTGAAGACCATGGAGTGCAGAGTTATAATGTGGGGAAAGAAAGGCCTGCATGTTCCCTGAAGACTCTCAGTGACCAGCGCCCCTTCTTGTGTAGGCACGTGTGATGAGAGAAGGAAGCTGAATCCCCTCTGTCAAAACCACAGCTGCCAGAGTGCACCCCACAGAGAGGAAGGGGCAACTGTCTTCATGCTCCCTGAAGTGTACCACCAAAGAAACAAAGGAGACACCGAAGAAAACCACTTGTGAACTAAGATAAGGAGGGGGCCGTGGCCAGTCAGAGTGATGCCTACCCTGCATCGCTGGGAAGCTGAAGGGCCCTGGTTTCTGAGTTCATTATGCACATAAGGAGGATCCAGGAGGGTCTGCTCCCCAGCTCCATACCACACACTGGACTCCACTTGGCCGAATGCCCCAGGCCTCTCTGACTATGGAATGAGGGCTGTGTATTGCTGCATTTTGCTTTTAATTCACAACCATTTTAACACTGGAAAATACTGACTTTGAGAGACAGGGGTGAGGCTCTACGTTCCAAGCCCCCAGTTGACAGACAGGCATTGACTGTTCAGTGCTTCAGTCGGGGCAGGAGTAATCCTCCTTGGTGTTTTTCCTGCGTTTGCACATGAAATGAAGCTGACAATCTGGCAAGGCACTCAGCCGCTTCAGACTCTTTTTGTCAATTAACTTATTTTTTTAATACTTGAAAAAAAAACAACACTTCATTTTTATATCTTTACTAGAGACACTGATCACCTGGCATCTGGTGTGGGAATGACAGAGGTGTCCAAACCAGCCTGACTGAACGCTTGCTGCATCCATCTGTTCATTAGCCAGCCTTCTTTATAGTGTTACCACGCTGGCATCAGAAAGCAGCTGAGACTCTTGTAGGGGTCCCTGCTCACAGTTCATCTGTCCCCTCCTGTACTTTGTGTCTGGATCCACCTCCTTCACCTGGCACTCTGTTCTCACTCTGGCACCAGACTTTATGTCTACACCACCTACTTGTCAAGGAAACACGTCAGCACTGTTTGAGGCCAGACCAGCAGGCACAGATTCCATTTGTCTCTCCCTGTGGGAATCCTGGCTCTGCAGAACCCATTTTTTTCAACTTTGGTATCAGGGTTTGTCACCTCCTGTAGCACACATATTAAAGAAAGTTGGGGGTAGGCCCTCTTCCAGGCTGACTGAGACAGTGCCTGGTGGGACCTTGCAACCCATCTGATTAGGATTCCCTCAGCCCAGCCTCAGATCCAAGCAGATAAACATGCAGGTGGGGCCACAGGTATTGGGGTTTATGTTGGTCTCCAAACAGATAACAGCTCCAGCCCAGACCTCCACAGTTCCTGGATCTTTGTGGGGAGACAAGGGGTGATAAGCACCATGCAACTAGCTCCTTGAGCCAAACTGCTTATTTCTTACAGCGTAGCCACTGTCTAAGGAATCCTGGTGGGGCACCATTTGTCCATCCACAGAATTAGCTCATGGTGAGCCCAAGGAGGAGGCCCACCAGTGCCAGGCCAGTCTGCGAGGGTCCTCTAGCCAACTCCTGTGCAGAGGGGCCAGTGTTGAGAGAACAGAGGCCTGGCAACTCTTCAAGGCCACCTGAGGGCAGGACAGATCAGGTGTCTGTGCTGACCTTGGAACTTCCATGGGAAACCACACTGTGCCTCAACTTGAACATCTGTTCTCACTACAAAGGAGCAAAGAACCTGTCTTCTTCACTTTGTCCCAAAGCTGCCATCTCCCTCATATGGAAATCCAGGAGTTGTGCTGCTGGTAGCCACCACAGCTCTGACTTCTTCACTTCCTGTTTGCAGATGAGGCAGGCAGAGTCTCTGTTTTTATTCTCTTTTCTTAAAAGGGGGAGAGAAGGGTGTTCTAGATTCCATCTTTAAACCCCAACCTTCCAATAAAATTGGACTTGGGACAGGACCTTTATTGCCTGTGTGGCCTTTTCCCTAACCCTCCACCTCTTAAAGGCCGCCACGCCCCTGGAGAGCTGCCTCCCTCCCTTGTAGCTCCTGTTAACTCCAGGACAGGGAAGCAGTTTACAAAGTGACTGGAAGGGATGCGGCCAGAGTGATCCTGTCTAAGTGGCCTAATGTAGGAGGGGCAGGAGATGTTACTACCTGCCCCTTGCTGCCAATACTGCATCCTTTGAAAACACACACTGCTTCCTTCAGTTACCAGAAAGGGGCTGAAGACTTTGTAGAGAAGCTTTAAAAATCCACAAGCCTGTAAAATGTTCCCCAGCACTGCCTTCCCAACAGTAAACTTTTTTTAAAGCTCCTGTTTTATAACCACTAGTTTGCAGTTTATTTAGTACCCTGGGTGAAATGCTTCATGAAATGTTTTCCAACTCTGGAAATGCATGCAGCTCCAGGCAGGTTTTCTTCTCAAGAATTAAGTCCCCTTGAAGGCAGGGGGTACAGGATATATATTTATCTGAAACCCCTGAGGTCGGGTGAGCCCAAACACAGGGCCAACTCAGTGGGCACTGGGCTCAGCATCACCTAGGGCAGCAGCAGGCACCACCAGCCCAGAGTCTGGGTCACCTGTAGTGGGGCTGACCAACAGCAATGGGAGATTCTAACCCTGCTCATATGACATATTTGGGCCTTAGCCCCCAGGAGCCATTCTCCAGCTTCTTTTGACCAGCAGTGATAGACTATTCTTTTAAAAGAAAAGAAATTTTTCAGTGAGGCAGGAAGTGGAGAGAATTTAAAGAAAAAAAAATTCTAAGGTGGTAACAACTGAGCTACAAAGGGGAATCTTATGCGCAATAAAAGTTTTAAAAGGAATACACAGTGTATTTCTTAAGTCAGTGTACTGGACTTGGCAATGAGCCAGGATGCATTTCCAGGTCTACCACCTGCCTTTTTATGCAAATCATTTTATGTCTAAGGTATGTGTGGGTGTGTACAAGGTTGTTTAAAGAAGATAACTTTTTTTTTTAGTTTGTGCTTTTTTAAATTATCCTGGCTCAGCCATGAACTGTTATCACTTGAGAAAATGTCTGAAGCAACCCAATGTGGTAAGAAGCTGCTCTTCAAAACCAAACCCCAGTATTTTCTCTTGAAAAGAAGCATGTCCTAGAGATTCTCTGAGTCAGAGTGAACCTGTGTCCTGGCAGCCTTCCTTACAAGTGCTGCTTCCAGGCCTGCTGGGCGCTGGCCTTTGACAACAGCCGACCTGGGAGCCAGTGCTGTGAAGTCTGCAGCCTCCAGGCCTCATCATTCAGATGTGTGAATATCCCTGAGTATATTCTGTGCACAGGGCCTTGAAGAAAGCTGACATAACCCTTCTTTAGAGTGGAAACATCCCTGAGAGACTGAAGGAAATAATCCCAACTCTCGTCTCTTTGCTACAAGAAGCCTCCTGGGCTGCTTTTCCAAATGGAGGCACGGTCCAGCTCTCTCCCCTTCCCGTAGTGTGTTGATCCATCAGGAGTACAGAGCTAATCCCTAAGGCACGATACTTCCCTCAGAAACAGTAACAAGGGAGAAAAAAAGGCAATAGATGGGTGGAAGTGAGCCTTGCCCAGCCTGGAGGTCAGCCTTAGAAGCTGGTTCCCACAGCCTTCTGACTTTATTTCCAGCTATTCCAGAAGGAAGAAGAGCCTCGCTGACACAGATGTGGACATCTCAGGTAGAGACAAGAGAGCCAGTGTGAGTGAATGTACTGTGGCCCTTGATTGCTAAAAGGAAAGATGGACCTCAGTGCATTCCTGTTGGGAAAGAAGAGGAGTTTGGAAGTCACCTGAGCTGATGCCAATTACCTTTTGTTCCTCAGAGGGGCTCCCTTTGATTGGAGCTGAAAGAAGGCAGGATTTGGCAGCAGTTCACAGCAACCCCAGGTGGCAGGAAATGGTGATTGTGGTTTTAGGCAGGCAACCAGAAAGGAAGGCTGCTGGAGCCCCAGGGAATGGCCCATTAGAAGCACTGCCTCCTTTCTATCCAAGAAACCACCATGTCTGATGGCTTCAAAATCCCTCCTGATCCCTGAATCCTCATGGTCCCTTCTTAGAAATCTGAGTGAAAAAATTATAAACGAAGAGAATATGCTATTTTATTTCACTTTATGAGCTGACCAGACTTGCCCACTTAAGGAGACCCCTCCTTTTTTCTGTTACTGCTCAGAAGATCCCCAGCCATGCTCAGTTGAGAAGGGTAAGAAATCATCCTCTTAGGTGGGTTATGTTCCACTGAAAACGCATCGAACCAAGAAGCCTGGTAGACTAGGTGCCTGGGGTCACAGAGGCACTCCCAGACAGCCTATTGCTGCTGAACTTCACTAGGTAGCATTTTGTGCCAGCCTCACTTCTTGTGTCCTCTGCCCTAAGATCTTCATGCAGCTGGGCTTAAATGGGAAAGTTGGAGTCCCAACTCCTGTGGGTAGGTCATGTGTGCTGGCTGCCTCTGCCTGAGTAGCCACCTGTTACCAGGACAGACATGGAAGAGGAGACAGCGTCCTATGACATACATATGCACACACACACACTCCCTTCACTCCCAGCAGGGCCTTTCTGGACCAGAGTATGCTTCAGTCCTAAAGTAGGCTGGACTTCAGCCTTTGGCCCCAGGTGGGGCCAGCTGTGCTGGTGGCCCAGACACCAGAGCTAGGCAGGATCCAAGTTAAGTATCTTCCTGCCACCTTAAACGGCCTGGTCCTGGAAGGCTACAGCCATATTGACTGATCTCCGGGGTAGGCAGACGGTGCATGGCACATCCCCCCTGGGCCCAGGAGAAGAGACCTTCAGAGTGCCAGTGTGGAGGAGGAGCTGACTCACACAGTTCCTGTGAAATGAGGGCGAGGTTGCTGGTGTCTGTCCACACGTGAGAGGGCAGTAGGGGTATGAGACATGAAACTTGTCCCTCCCCTTCCCAACTTCAGAGGTAGCCTTAGGCATATCACTCAGCTAGTCAGTGCCTCCCTCCCTGTCTCACCTGGCGCTGGTAACCATCCCGCAGGATTGGAGGAGGGCAGTCCATTAAGGAGCCTGCAACCGAGGCACGTGCCCTTGGCCAAAACTGAACCCAGGACCCTTCAGTCTGTGGGCCAGCATTCTAACCACTGAGCCAAACCTCCAGGGGTCTTCATGACTTAGAGTCATTGGAGCAAAGCAAAGAGGGAAACAAACAGAAAGTACCTTTCTTCAGTTGTGTGTGGTGGGGTGCACACCATTTACCTGCCAGCTGTTCACACTCATGTGGCCAACAACCAAAATAAAGTCAGTCATTATTTTATTTCTTCTGTAGAAGTGGATCATTTTTCCCCTCAATGAGCAAATTCACAGCCTCAGTGGTTTTAGGATATGCCCTCAAATTGAGGGCTGGAGGGGGCCTGCCTTCCTTGAGGCTCCAGCGCACCAGGACCACCTGCCCACCCAGGCCAGTGACGGCCACGCAGTTGGCCCCCAGCAGGGCATGTTCCTGGGGTGGGGAGTGAAACAGCTGTGTTCCCTCTGCTCCTTCTCTCCTACTCACTATCTTCTTTGTTGGTTTGTTTGGGTTTGAAGGGGGCCACTGCTGGGTAGTAAGAATTCTCCTTCCCTTAACACTATATACACAGACCTGGGAGATATTGCAGGTTTGGTTCCAGACCACCATAATAAGTAATAAAGCCAGTATCACAATAAAGCAAGTCGTAATCTTTTTGCTGGTCTTGCCTTCAGTTTGTAAAAAACGCAATAAAGTGAAGTGCAATAAAATGAGGTGTGCATGTATATATCTTGACTGGAAAACAGCAGACAGAAAAATCATCTTCCCCAAGCTTTTTGCCCATCAGAGGACAGCCCCTCTCCACCAGCATGTCCACTTGCTTTAAGCCAGGGACAGGGAATGTCTGGCCCAACCTGCGGAATCATTTGGTCTGGCCCTGCCAAGGCAGCCGCAAAAACATCTATGTGAGAGAGGCACATTGATTGGGGCCCAGGATCGAGCCTGCAACCAATTGTATTGAATTTATCGAAATTCAATAAATCTGGGAGCTTTTTTCATAGCTAATTTTAAGTTGATAATTTTGTATGGCCCGTGAATGATGTTATAAATATCCAAATGGCCCTTGGCTGAAAAAAGGTTCCCCACCCCTGCTGTAGAGCATAAATAAGTGACTTTTAAAACAAATTTATAGTTACTATGTCCTCAGCTGGAGATCTTTCAGCCTTAAAGTTCAGGCTGGGTTGGGGAAAGGGAAGCCAACAGGACTTCGACAATCGCTGAGATGTCTGCCTCGCCATCTGTGATGGAGCAGGTGTTACTTGTTTCCTTTTACTAAACCAATTTTCAGTCCTGAGTTGTCCTCACACGTGAACGCGTTAGGCATCTGGATTTCAGATTTCCAGTAGCCTCCATTCTCTCCAAGCTCAGCCTTAAACACAAATGAATGTAAACAGGGACTCCAGACAGAGCTGTCACCAAGCCCTCCTGACAGTGTTATGGGCCACACTCACCAAGCCCTCCTGACAGTGTTATGGGCCACACGCAGGGCTGTGCAGGTGTTTGAGGCTGTGGATCCAAGCCTAGGTTCAGTTTCCCTGCAAGCTTGGGTTTGGGCATGAGTATGACCTGGGCCAGGGCCAGCCTGGAAAGGCCAGGTCATACCAGGAGTTCAGGGAAGCCCAGCACTGTTCCCCCAAAATCAGCTCACACCTAGGCCTGAAACAGCCTATGAGGAGACTGTGAAGGGACCCAGGCCTGAAAAGAAGGGAAAGATTTGAATTTTGCTAAAAAACAGTAAGCTTTGCCCTTGAGGTTGGGACAGGAAAAGACAGGTGTGAGACCTCCCCAGGACCAGAAGAGGAAAGCTCAGCTGGGAAGGAACACAGGCAATAAATAGGAAAGGAACCCAGCCCTCTCTGACTGGGTACCAGTGACTCAGAGGAAGGTGGGTATAGTAGTTCTATTGAGCTGCCATAGCAAAGTACCACAGAC